CTTTAATTCTTTTTATAACTTTTTCAAATCAACTTGGATTTTCATCAAACTATGCGGTTATCTCAGTAATAAATTGATCTTACTGAATCCCAGGTCATTATGTAGTTTGGTGTATTGCTGTCAAATTTAAGAATTAAATTAATCTAGGTCAAAAAAGCTTGGATTTGCAATTTCTGCCAAATTCAGATAGTACACTTTAATTTTTTTTATAACTTTTTCAAATCAACTTGGATTTTCATTAAACTATACAGATACCTTGGTAATATATTTTTCTTATTGAATCACAGGTCGTTATGTAGTTTGGTGTATTGCTGTCAAATTTAAGATTTAAATTAACCTAGGTAAAAAAAGCTAGGATTTGCAATTTCGGACAAAATTCAGACAGTACACTTTAATATTTTACAACTTTTTCAAATCAACTTGGATTTTCATCAAGCTATACAGCTACCTTGGTAATATATTGATCTTACTGAATCCCAGGTTGTTATGAAGTTTGTTGTATTGCTGTCAAATTTAAGAATTAAATTAATCTAGGTGAAAAAAAGCTAGAATTTGTAGTTAGGACTATATTGAGATAGTACACTTAAACTCTTATTATAACTTTTTCAAATCAACTTGAATTTTCATCAAACTATGCAGTTATCTTAGTAATAAATTGATCTTACTGAATCTTAGGTCATTATGTAGTTTGGTGTATTGCTGTCAAATTTAAGAATCAAATTAATCTAGGTCAAAAAAGCTAGGATTTGCAATTTTGGCCAAATTCAGATCAGATAGTAATTTTTTTTATAACTTTTTCAAATCAACTTGGATTTTCATCAAACTATACAGCAACCTTGGTTATATATTGATCTTACTGAATCACAGGTCATGTAGTTTGGTGTATTGCTGTCAAATTTAAGAATTAAATTAATCTAGGTAAAAAAAGCTTGGATTTGCAATTACGGACAAAATTGAGATAGTACACTTTAATTTTTTTTATAACTTTTTCAAATCAACTTGGATTTTCATCAAACTATACAGCTACCTTGGTAATATATTGATCTTACTGAATCACAAGTCTTTATGTAGTTTGGTGTATTGCTGTCAAATTTCAGAACTAAATTAATCTAGGTAAAAAAGCTAGAATTTGTAGTTTGCACTATATTCAGATAGTACACTTTAACTATTTTTATAACTTTTTCAAATCAATTTGGATTTTCATCAAACTATACAGCTACCTTGGTAACATATTGATCTTACTGAATCACAGGTCGTTATGTAGTTTGGTGTATTGCTGTCAAATTTCAGAATTAAATTAATCTAGGTAAAAAAAGGTAGAATTTCAGTTTGGACTAAATTCAGATAGTACACTTTAATTCTTTTTATAACTTTTTCAAATCAACTTGGATTCTCATCAAACTATACAGCTACCTTGGTAATATATTGATCTTACTGAATCCCAGGTTGTTATGAAGTTTGGTGTATTGCTGTCAAATTTAAGAATTAAATTAATCTAGGCGAAAAAAAGCTAGAATTTATAGTTCGGACTATATTGAGATAGTACACTTCAATTCTTATTATAACTTTTTCAAATCAACTTGGATTTTCATCAAACTATGCAGTTATCTTAGTAATGAATTGATCTTACTGAATTCCAGGTCATTATGTAGTTTGGTGTATTGCTGTTAACATCCTGTTTTGACATTTAAGCTATTATACTAAAAGAGTTTTAGGTGTAGCAGATTTCCACTTTTCCTTGTTTCTGCCAAAAAACTCAAACATAGATAAAATGATTTTTCTATTTTCTTAAAACAAAATGTAAAAGCAGGCAAGTTGACATGTGCTTTCAAAGTAGTTATGTAACTATCTAATTATACCATAAATTTGATTGCATATTTGGTCTCATCAGTCAGGGAATGCATCAAACTTACAGTTTGTGGGGAACATAAAATACAAATCTGACTTTTCCCTGAGACCTTCCTGGTTACATATGCTTGTAAATGTATAATATATACAGCGCTTCTAAATATTCATCATAATTTTTTTTAAATAAATATAACAAACCAAAGATTGTGTTTTAATCGATACAGCATATTCAAATTTTTAGAGTGATGTTACATTGTTGAAAATAACACTTCAATTTCATCAGCAACATTATTACATATTTCATTTATCTTAATCATGATCACTAACAAAAACGTAATTTTGAACTGCACCAGGAAAGTTTCGACCTGCCAGATAGTTATAATTGCATGCCATGCAAAATACCAAGCGAACTGATTAATCAATCAATCAGTACCAGAACTCGATTGTAAAAACAACAACTACATGAAAAATGTTTTGATTTCAAGTTCTAATAAAATCTATTATGATAGTATGAGTTTACAATGCTTAAGTTTCAGTGTTACTGATGTGTCTTGTATAGACAACAAACACATCTGCCATACATACTTATAGGCCCAAAATGTTGATAAATTCTGTTAAACTACTTATCTTTTGCCATCTTGATTGTAAAATAGCAACACGCTATGTGGAAATCTTCATTCAAATAAGTATGCAAACTTTGAGACTGGAATGCAATTCAAATACAATCTTTAATTTATTATTTACCAGATGGCTATGACTGTTTCTATTAAAAGCTAAATACTAAATTCTGATGATTTGTTTTGTTTGATTTAACTTAAATACTATAGGCATCAAAAGTGATGTCGTACTGTGTGACGTGTTCATCATAACAAACTTTTCAATTTCAGACAAAATCCAAACCCAGAGACAGACATTTGACTCAGAGGCAAGCATTCTGTGATTTATATAAGATATTGGAAAACTATTGAAAAAGAAAGACTCTGAAAACATGCTAAAGAAAGGACAGTTACTCATGCCTGGGCAAGAGAAAAATGGATTTTGCAAAAACAATTTGAAATCCAATCAGCAATGGACAGAGGAAGAGAAATAAAAACCAACACACTATAAACTAGATACCCTAAGGATTATTCAGCCAATGTTTGGCTGAAATTTATCCTGTGGTGTCAGAGAAGAAGATTAAAAAGTTTATAATGATAATGAACAACAGTGATCACTAAGTAAGGCAACAGCTTAACTGGAAATATGATAGGGCTAGGTGAGCTTAACATGGCCATATGGTTTCCTATAATTGCTTATATATACTTCATTTGAACTTTGGTGAGTAGTTGTCACTTTGGCAATTATGCCATATCTTATTTTTATATGGCATTGAACTTAAAATTGAAAATATTGATTACCTACATTTTGATATTTATTATAAACCAGTGAAGAATATTCTAAGTTTCCTTAATGCATTTCATACATATACTAAAGCATCTGGTAGGTTGATATTACTAACATTTTCATCTAAAGAAATTTCAAAACTAGTATTAAGAACTAGCAAAGATTATTCATGCATGCCTTTCAGTAATAGATTGTTATCATAAGCAAGGTATGTTTGGTGAGGATTTTTTTTTATCATGCAGCAATACAAAATTTGTCAAGATTTTTCGTAAATCAAGGCAAATCCAAATACCTGAGAGGCAGAAGAAACCAAACGAAAATTCAAAACGAACTAACAAAGCAAGGGCAAAAAAACCCTCAACATGACAAGCAGCAGTTTCAAAAACACAACATTGCAAACAAAAGACTGAGAATCAAATACCACAATAGGTGTACCGATAGGGTAGAATGGTCCTGCTGCACCTATCATGTGATAGTAACAGATGACAGCAAGAACTATACACGGTAAACGATAGTTCAGATGGCAGTTAATGGATCATGTGATGAGCTTTGGTTACAGATTACAGTTGATTGTACAGTTGACGAACGATGGTTACATATGACAGTAGATGGTCAGTTGAGGAAACTTGGTTACACGACAGTAGATGGTCCAGTTGAGGAACGTTGGTTACATGACAGAAGATGGTCCAGTTGAGGAACGTTGGTTACATGACAGAAGATGGTCCAGTTGAGGAACGTTGGTTACATAACAGAAGATGGTCCAGTTGACAGACGATGGTTACAGATGGTAGTAGATGAGACAGTTGATGGCTAATGGGTACGGTTGACAGACGTTGATTAAAGATGACAGCAAATATTACAATTGACAAACGATGGTAGAGCTGATATATGTTATAGTTGACAGACAAAAAATACAGATGGTAGTAGATGGTAGTTGACAGACGATGGTTACAGATGGCAGTATATGGTATTATTGACAGACAATGCTTACAAATGCCAGCAAGTTGTACAGCTGATAGACGATGGTTACAGATGGTAGTTGATGGTACTGTTGATAGATGATGGTTACAGATTGTAGTAAATGGTACTGTTGACAGAAGATGGTGACAGATGGCAGTTGAGGGTAGTTGACAGACGATGGTTACAGATGAAAGAAGATGGTACAGTTGACAGACGATGATTACAGTTGGTAGTAAATTGTACAGTTGAAAACAATAGTTACAGTTGACAGATGCTGATTACAGATGTTATAAGATGGTACAGTTGACAGACGCTGGTTACAGAAAGTAGTAGATGGTACAGCTGACAAACGCTGGTTACAGATATTATTAGATAGCACAGTTGACAGACTATGGTAACAGATGGTGGTAGATGGTACAGTTGACAGACTATGGTTACAGATGGTAGTAAATGGTAGTTGACAGACGATGGTTAAAGATGGCAGCAGATATTACAATTAACAGACAATGTTTACAAATGGCAGCAAATTGTACAGCTGATAGACAATGGTAACAGATGGCAGTTGATGGTTACAAATGGTAGTAGATGGTCCAGTTGACAGAAGATGGTGACAGATGGCGGTTGAGGGTACAGTTGACAGACTATGCTTACGGATGGTAGGAGATTGTACAGCAGATGGCCGATGGGTACAGTTGACAGACGATGGTTAAAGATGGCAGCAGATATTACAATTAACAGACAATGCTTACAAATGGCAGCAAGTTGTACAGCTGATTGACGATGGTAACAGATGACAGTTGATGATACTGTTGATATATGATGGTTATAGATGGTAGTAGATGGTCCAGTTGACAGAAAAAGGAAACAGATTGCGGTTGGTGGTACAGTTGACAGAGGATGGTTACAGATGGTAGTATGTGGTATAGTTGACAGACGATGGTTACAGATGGTAGGAAATGGAACAGTTGACAGACGATGGTTATAGATGGTGGTAGATGGTATAGTTGACAGAATATGGTTACAGATGGCAGTATATGGTACAGTTGACAGACGATGGTGACAGATGGCGGTTGGTGGTACAGTAGACAGACGATGGTTACAGATAGTAGTAGATTGGACAGTTGACAGACGTTTGTTACAGATGGCGGTTGATGGTCCAGTTGACAGACGATGGTTACAGATTGCGGTTGATGGTACAATTGACAGAGGATGTTTACAGATGGTAGTATGTGGTATAGTTGACAGACGATGGTTACAGATAGTAGTAGATGGTACAGTTGACTGACGATGGTTACAGATGGTAGTTGATGATACAGTTGACAGTCGATGGTTACAGATGGTTGTAGATGGTACAGTAGAGAGACAATGATTACGGATGGTGGTTGGTGGTACAGTATAGACAGACGTTGGTTACAGATAGTAGTAGATGGGACAGTTGACAGACGATGATTACAGATGGCGGTTGATGGTACAGTTGACAGAGGATGGTTACAGATGGTAGTATGTGGTATAGTTGATAGAAGATGGTTACAGATGGTAGGAAATGGAACAGTTGACAGACGATGGTTATAGATGGTGGTAGTTGGTATAGTTGACAGACGATGGTTACATATGGTAGTATATGGTACAGTTGACAGACGATGGTGACAGATGGCGGTTGATGGTACAGTAGACAGACAATGGTTACAGATAGTAGTAGATTGGACAGTTGACAGACGATGGTTACAGATGGCGGTTAATGATACAGTTGATAGACGATGGTTACAGATGGTAGGAAATGGTACATTTGACAAACGATGGTTACAGATGGTAGTAGATGAGACAGCTGATGGCCGATGGTTAAAGATGGCAGCAGATATTACAATTAACAGACAATGCTTACAAATGGCAGCAAGTTGTACAGCTGATAGACGATGGTGACATATGGCAGTTGATGGTACTGTTGATATATGATGGTCATAGATGGTAGTAGATGGTCCAGTTGACAGAAAATGGTAACAGATGGCGGTTGGTGGTACAGTAGAGACACGATGGTTACAGATGGCGGTTGATGGTACAGTTGACAGACGATGGTTAAAGATGGCGGTTGATGGTACAATTGACAGAGGATGGTTACAGATAGTTGTAGATGGGACAGTTGACTGAGGATGGTTACAAATGGCGGTTGATGGTACAATAGACAGACGATGGTTACAGATAGTAGTAGATGGGACAGTTGACTGACGATGGTTACAGATGGTGGCTGATGGTACAGTTGACAGTCGATGGTTACAGATGGTTGTAGATGGTAGGTTACAGATGGTTGTAGATGGTACAGTAGAGAGACGATGGTTACGGATGGCGGTTGGTGGTACAGTATAGACAGACGTTGGTTACAGATAGTAGTAGATGGGACAGTTGACAGACGATGGTTACAGATGGTGGTTGATGGTACAGTTGACAGACGATGGTTACAGATGGTAGTAGATAGTTAAGTTGACAGACAATGGTTACAAATGGCAGTTGATGGTTACAGATGGTAGAAGATGAGATATTTGAAGGCTGATGGGTACAGTTGACAGACGATGGTTAAAGATGGCAGCAGATATCACAATTGACAAACGATGTTAGAGCTGATAGATGATATAGTTGACAAAGAATACAGATGGTAGTAGATGGTAGCTGACAGACGATGGTTACAGATGGCAGTAGATGTTTCAATTGACATACAATGCTTACAAATGGCAGCAAGTTGTACAGCTGATAGACGATGATTACATATGGCAGTTGAATGTACTGTTGATAGATGATAGTTACAGATGGTAGTAAATTTTACAGTTGACAGACGATGGTTACAGTTGACAGACGCTGGTTACAAATGGTTGTAGATGGTACAGTTGACACACGCTGGTTACAGATGGTAGTATATGGTATAGTTGACAGACGATGGTTACAGATGTAGGAAATGGTACAGTTGACAGACGATGGTTATAGAGGGTGGTAGATGGTATAATTGACAGACTATGGTTACAGATGGTAGTATATGGTAGTTAACAGACCATGGTGACAGATGGCGGTTGATGGTACAGTAGACAGGCGATGGTTACAGATGGCGGTTGATGGTACAGTTGACAGACGATGGTTACAGATGGTAGGAAATGGTACAGTTGACAAACATTGGTTACAGATGGTAGTAGATGAGACAGTTGATGGCCTATGGGTACAGTCGACAGACTAGGGTTAAAGATGGCAGCAGATATTACAATTGACAGATGGCAGTTAATGGTTCTGTTGACAGAAGATGGTAACAGATGGCGGTTGGTGGTAGTTGACAGAAGATACAGATGGCAGTTGATGGTACAGTTGGCAGACGATGGTAACATATGGTAGTAGATGGTTAAGTTGACAGACGATGGTTACAGATGGCGGTACAGTAGACATAAGATGGTTACAGATTGTAGTAGATGAGACAGTTGACAGACAATGGTTACAGATGGTTGTAGATGGTACAGTTGACAAACGCTGGTTACAGATGGTAAAAGATGATACAGTTGATGGCCGATGAGTACAGTTGACAGACGATGGTTACAGATAGAAACAAGATGGAACAGTTGACAGATGATGGCTTCAGATGGTAGTAGATGGCACAATTGACAGACGATGGTTACAGATGGTGGTAGATGGTACAATTGACATATGATGGTCACAGATGGCAGTAAATGGTACAGTTGACAAACGATGGTTACAGATAACAGTAGATGGTACAGTTGGCATATGATGGTTACAGATGGTAGTAGATAGTACAGTTGACAAATGATGGTTACAGATGGTAGTAGATAGTACAGTTGACACATTTTGTCTGCATCAGTCCGAGGACAGTCTACTGGTACACCATAACTGTTTTAGGCTGAGGAACAGTCTACAGGTACACCAAATTTGTGTCAGGCTGAAGAAGAGTCTACAGGTACACCAAATTTCTGGGTCAGGCTGACGAACAGTCTACAGGTACACCAAATCTCTGTGTCATGCTGAGGAAGTCTACAGTATACCAAATCTCTGTGTCAAGCTGAAGAACAGTCTAATGGTTAACCATTGTGTTGGGCTAAGGAATAGTCTACAGGTGAGCCATATCTCTGTGTCAGGCTGAGGAACAGTCTACAGGTAAACCAAATCTCTGTGTCAGGCTGAAGAACAGTTTAATGGTTAACCATTTCTCTGTGTTGGGCCCAGGAACAGTCTACAGATATACCATATCTCTGTGTCAGGCTGAAGAACAGTCTACAGGTAAACCAAATCTCTGTGTCAGGCTGAAAAACAGTTTAATGGTTAACCAATTCTCTGTGTTGGGCTAAGAAACAGTCTACAGGTACACCATATCTCTGTGTCAGGCTGAAGAACAGTCTATAGGTACACCAAATCTCTGTGTCAGGCTGAAGAACAGTCTACAGGTAAAACATATCTCTGTGTAATGCTGAGGAATTGAGGATATGAATTTCTGGTAAAAAGGTCATCATTAAAGCATCAAACAGGCAAAAAATTATAAAAATTAAAAAATATATTTAAATTTTGGACCAAGGGAAAGGTTCATTGTGAACTCATTTACTGAATCTAAGTCGTAATAAATTCATTTATGTCTGCAAAACATATTTCAATTGTTATGCTTTGATATAAAACATGTGTTTTGGTCATTTAGCAAATGGTTTTTGAAGACAAAGAATATATACAGTGCATGCGAATACAAACTTAATAGTTTAAAATACAGTGACATAACAAACTTAGATTGTATCAGAATTTAATGAATAGGTTAACTTATTGTATTTATTGAATTATCATTAACATTAAAAATCTCATTAGAAGGTTAAATAAATATACCTTAACAGGAATATTTCTTTTTCCTCTCCTCATATATTCCTCTGAACTTTTTTCTTTCATTAAATATTTTTGATTTGATGATATCTCTCCTTGTCAAAAAGTCACTCTCTTGGGCCATTACTTTAGTATGCAACTCCATAAATATTTTTATGTCCTTAAAACCTGGATAAAATATCATGTTTGTATTAATAAAAAAATAAAATTGAAACTATTTTAAAAATAGTTGTCTCTTCTTCTTGGTTTTTCTTAAAATAACACTGAACAAATTGGGAATTCACTTTGGTAAAAAAAAATTGTTTCGCTGAGCGCAGCTGGATACGACCGCAGATGTCCAACCCTGAAAGTTGGGCCAAAGTGGTCACAATATTCACGCTTGATACAGGTCTGAATTTGGATTGAAATTAAATTTTTGACACATAATAGGTTTCTGACACAGAATAAATGTAGTCAAAGAACTTCAAATTGGTTATATGATTTGAATTTACATTCAATTTTTTGCTTTTGTGCAATACACTATGCTGTTACGAATTGCCCCCCCCCTCCCCCCTTTAATAGTAGACTAGTCCGACAGATAACCATTCTATCTGTCTGTAGGACTAGGCTACTTTAAAAGGAGGGTAGTATACCTTACCTAACATGACTTCAGGGTTCAGCTAGCAAGCAAGTTAACCAAAGATATTATCTTTAGCTACATACTCATTGAAATCGGCTGTAACCCCCCCAAAAAAAGCATTTGAAGAATTTTTCTTTTTATTTCTGAAATCTGAAATGAGAAAAATTATCCATCCCCCTCTAATTTTTATTACCTCCCCCCCCCCCCCCCCCCCCTTTTCCCTTATTTTAAAAAAAATCTTTCCCTCAGTTATGGTCAGTATTTCAATTCAAATTTCTAATGGAGTTTGCAACCATAATTACCCATTTAAATACATTATAAAAGTTTTAAAATATAAAATGACACATATAGTCATAGCTAAAATTAATATTAATTAATGGCAACTGCTAAAAATAAATGGACAGCTAATCACCTCAAGACAACCATCATTTCTTAATACATGTACATAATTTACAAGCAGTGTAAGGGAGGTAATCAAAGATTGTTCTCTAAATTTATTTGGATTACCTCCCTTACACTGCTTTTAAATTGTCTCAATTGTCCTTTTACCAGAAAAACCCTTTTCCCCCCTTTTATTGCCCCTAATTCCTAAATGGTGTGAGCCATAACCCCCCAAAGTTAATCCTAACCATCCCTTTGAAGTATGGACACTTGTGGTATAATTTCAGAGTGGTTCATACACTAAAACACAAGTTACTGTCTGGAAAATGCAAAAATGTTTATTTGGGCCTTTTTTGGCCCCTTTTTCCTAAACAGTTAAGACTAAAACCCCCAATTTCAATCCCAACCTTCCTGTAGTGGTTATAAACCTTGTGTTAAAATTTTATTGATTTCTATCTTTTTATACTAAAGTTATTATCCGTAAACCATCTGTCTTCGGAAGACACTGATGACGAAGAGGACATTGAGGACAACTTGATAGCAATATACGACCAAATTTTTTTTTTATTTTTGCGGTCATATAAAAATTACTGAAAGAAGCAAAAGAAATGATTTCAGTTTTCCAATTGTGAACTTTCCATTAGTACGAAAAACAAGCCAATCCATAGATATTGGAATGAAACATGGTGCTTTTTTTTAAATTTGAGGTATAAGTTTGGTAATTCAGATTTTCATTAGTGTTAAAAAAATAATTTACAAGAGGTTATAAAAATGTCTGCCATAGACCATTTTTCCTGTAGGGTAACAATATTTAATTGCTGGTCGAAAGTTTGTAAAGCCTTTTGCTGAACATATCTAAACATTGTTTCATAGTGGTATATACAATAAATGTTGTCATGTTGCTAGGTTTTGTGTCTATGACCGAAGCAAAGGTTAGAAATGTATCTCCAAATTTTAATTATGATAGCTTTTGAAAAAGCCAGCAACGATTGGGCAATTTGTTCAGTATTTTATGCAAAATTGGGAATTGGATCTAATCTTTGTCTTGATATAAGTCGGAGAAATATCCATGATATGTCAGCTGTATCTATGTTTTCTTACAAACATAACTCAATGTCTCTAATAGACCTTTTCAACAATTGCCTATTGGCAAAAAAATAGAGAGAAAAAAACAAAAATAATAGAGAACAGAAAATAGAGAATAATTGATAACATAAGTTACAGTATAGAGAATAATGGACAAAATAAAAGAAGAATAGACAAAAATTAGTAAAATAAAATAGGAATAGAGAAAGGTGATAAGACATAAGAGAAAAATGAATAAAAGGACCCTAATTCAGACCCTCAGGGACGAAAAAAAGCGAAATCATTTATTCTATCTTTTATTTTTAGAAGATGAGATTCTTTAAGCTAGCAAAATGAAAATCAGCTGTAAATATGTAAACACAATTATTTTACATCTGTTGACAAGGGCAGCATATCTCTATCGGTTGCAATTCTGTAAATATAGACAATGCAATTTCCCATAGGAACTCCCTTTGCAGCTAAAACTGTGACACTTTTACTATGAAGTTTCATGAAAAATAATATCCCAGAACGGAAAGCTTATATGCACTACCATTTTATTCAAATGTCAAAATATAGGGCTGTGCGGCATATTTTCAACATTTATATGCCCTGAACTTCTAAGAGTTTAAATTCTTAACTACCTTTACCTCCTTTTTAGGACTTCCTAAGAATTAAAATTTAGACACTACCATGTTTTTCTATACTGGTTACATTCCCAAGTGATGTCTCTATGAGATGAAACACAGAGATCATATATGGGAACTGGGAGTACGTTAACAAATTAACATATCTGTGAATATTATAAATCTCACCACAAGAGGCGTGGTTTGAGAAACAGCTGTATTTACAAAGTGCAACCTATACAAACATTTATTCAAATAAAATCACTGCATATGCTCTAAGTTTCCTTTTACAGTACATTTTATACCCCCTGTTTCAATTTTTAAAGAATTTGAAAACAAGATTTTAATTTTTGCCAGCTTACCCTATGCGCATGTTTTCTGACATGAACTGTCTAAATCCTGTTTAAAACTATTCTGATAACACATTGAAAGCATTCTGGAATACTATAAATGTAATGTTTAGTTGTTAATCACTCCAACATTCAAAATTATAAAAATTCGTAAGTGTTCCGCGGAACCCAGTGTCTCGCCTACTTTTGCTGTTAATCGCAGGCTCAACAAAAATGAGAAAAAAAACTAATAAAAATATCTATCATTTCAATGTAAGTAGCTTCTGTCCAAGTTTGGTAAAAATCCAGGATAATTTATGAATCTAATAAATGTTTTAAAAACTTAAACTGCAGACTGTATGTAAGGTTGACTGGAAGAAAAACTAAGTCCATTTATAAGTAAAATACGGAAAAAATGGAACAAAATTTTATCAAAATTTCCTTCTAGATACTAGCTTTTGATCATAAACAAGCTTCTGTCCAAGTGTGGTACAAATCCAGGATAGTTTAAGAAAGTTGTTAAAATTTTAATAACTTTAACCACAGAGTGAATGTAATGTTAACTGGCAGAAAAACTATGTCCATTTATAAGTAAAATACGGAAAAATGGAATTTTTTTTTACAAAATTTACTTCTGGATACTATCTTATGATCATAAACAAGCTTCTTTCCAAGTTTGGTAGAAATCCAGGATAGTTTAAGAAAGTTGTTAAAATTTGAAAAACTTTAACCACAGAGTGAATGTAATGTTTCCTGGCAGAAAAACTAAGTCCATTTATAAGTAAAATACGGAAAAAATGGACTTTTTTTTTTACAAAATTTACTTTTGAATATAATCTTATGATCATAAACAAGCTTCTGTCCAAGTTTGGTAGAAATCCAGGATAGTTTAAGAAAGTTATTAAAATTTCAAAAACTTTAACCACAGAGTGAATATTTGTGGACGCCGCCGACGACAACGACGACGGAATGTAGGATCGCTATGTCTCGCTTTTTCGACAAAATTCGAAGGCTAGACAAAAAGTATCCAATCCTGCCTGTGTCTCCAGTCCACATCTTACTGTATGCCTATTTGTCAATGAAAGTTCACAATTACTGCCTCAAATGGTCAGTTTAGAATTCTTGTCACAACAGAATCATCCCTAACCATATATCTAACATAAGTTAGTTGATATATGAACTAGAAGTGTTTAAACAAAGCCATATTTGCAAAAGTTGTATTTATGAAGATGTCAGTCTGGTGCAAAAATTCACAAAAAGTTTGATAGAAATGACCGCTTTCATCTGATTTTTGCATAACTTCCTACCACAGTTATTATTTTCTTTACAAAAGACCTTTAAAATTATAAAATCATAGCATTTACAAGTTAAATTATCTGTTTTATGACCCAGGGGTAGGCATTTTCTCTGTTTTTTGCCTCAGGGGCCTCACATTTCCTAAAATTTTCCCCTGTTTTTAGCAATGTGGAACATTTAGTACATACTTAGGAAAGAACACACTATTGTAAGTTTTATTGAGGTCTTTTTTTAATTCTAGCTAGTACTTTTTTATGCCACGGTCACAAAAAACACATTTAGGTGTTAAGGCTTACTTTTGCGTTATGGACAGGACAAAAAATCCCACCAAAAATATTTAGGAAGGACCAATGAGTTGCAATGACTGAAAAGAGTAAATGTAAGCACTTCTAAACAATTTAAATAACAAATATGCATATATTAGGAATTTATTTTGAATTCAGGGCTTTAAGTAAACCATGCATACTGTAAACTGTGAATTTATGCTGAGTCATCACAGTTAACGCCCAGGATTTTCTCACTCTTCATAAAATATTTATTAAACTTCATATTTTAGTTAAATTCTTTAAAATCTCTGAGATAAACTAGATTTTGTGAGATTCTGTATGTTCTATTTTTTAACCCTATACAGGTTGCAATTCTGTAAATATAGACAATGCAATTTCCCATTGGAACTCTCTTTGCAGCTAAAACTTGACACTTTTACTATGAAGTTTCGTGAAAAATAATATCCCAGAACGGAAAGTTTATATGCACTACCATTTTATTCAAAGGTCAAAATATAGGGTTGTGCGGCTAATATTTTCAACATTTATATGCCCTGAACTTCTAAGAGTTTAAACTTATATTAAAATTCTATACTACCCTTACCTCCATTTTTGGACTTCCTAAGAATTAAAAATTTAGGCGCTAGCATGTTTTTCTTTACTGCATTGTTACATTCCCAAGTGATGTCTCTATGAGACGAAACACAGAGATCATATATGGGAATCAGTACGTTAACAAATTAACATATCTATGAATATTATAAATCTCCCCAAAAGAGGCGTGGTTTGAGAAACAGCTGTATTTACAAAGTGCAACCTATACACAGTCCCTTTTTTTTGCCTCGGTTGCCGTCTTATTGCAATCATTTCTAAGTAGGTTTTTTTTTCAATTCAGTCATGCTATGTTCAGCTTAAATGTGTATTCAGTGACAATTTGTACAGAACATTCAGATAAAGGGAATGTCATATTTCATATTTTTATATAATTATTTTTATTTAAAATAGCACAAAACAGACTTTGACAATAACAAGAACAGGCAGACACTGACAATGAACATGGCGTGAATAAAGCTTAAAATCACATAATGCAACACATAAACAAATTTAGAGGTACTGGGTGATCTTCAATACTGTCGGAAATCAGCACCAAGCAACAAAATCTGAGAACGGCTTTGGCAAAACAAAGAGATAAATAATATATATGGTAAACTTTAAATTCTACCCAGTAAAAGAGTATACCTTTTACTTACATATTCAGGGGTTAGAAAAGGGGCATGACATATATGTGGCAGGGGGAAATAACTTCAAGGGGGAGGGGGTTATGTTTGGTTTTTTTTTTGTCAGAATGGTTTTTTCATGAACAATTTTGTTTAGTTTTTCAATAGTATCAATGAAATGATTTGTCAAAATTTAACACTATAATGTGTATGGGTAAAATAATTTTTGTCCTGGTACTAGAACAGATTTTTTTCCATCAATTTGGGAATCAGAATATTTTTTTATGGAAAAAAAAACATACTAATATCAAATGGTCATTCCCTAAGCAATTCAAGCTTCTTACAGTACAGCACACTAGATGTGTTTCCCGTGATGATTATTTCCGAGAATGCAAAAAATGTACTTGAAACAAAGGGACAAGGTCTGATTTTTTTGGTGCCAAGGTCAACTTATAAAAGTCAATTATATTCAATATGTACAACAAGTATAATGAAGATCTGTTGAGAACGTTTAAAAGCAACATCTACAATGTCCACATGTGTGCTTTGGACAAGTTACGGACAGACAGATGGTCAATTTACAATGTCCTTAGATCTATCCGTTACTATGGGGATGATGAAATTTAGAGTTATAAAATAGCATTCCATACAAAAGTTAACGGCTATTGGCAAGTGAGCCATGGAAAATTCGTACAAACCTGATGTGAATAGATTAGATTTTGTTGAAAGATTTGAAAGTGAAATGCCTTATAGTTTTTTTACACATGAGTATTAAATATATGAAATAAAGGGGAAAACATAGAAAATCCACAATAGCTATTAGCAAAATATTCCTTTTTTTCATAATATAGTAAAATCGAATATGTAGTACTATGTTTATGTTGCATGTCAGCTTTTTGACTGACCTTTTTTACTAATAAAATCAATGTATTAAATTCAAATAGGTGGGCTTGAATCAGTGGTGTTTCTACTTCAGGACATTGACCTTAATACTATATGTAATACAACATACCAGGCATTCTCCCTTTTGCACCTTCTTTAGATACATCCTGGATATATTGTTTGAAGTAGGATTTTACAGTGTTTGAATCTTTCTCACTCCATTGAACATATCGTCTTCCTACAATGAAAATAAAGCAAACCTATAATTTATAAGAGCCAACTCAAAATAGGTAAATATTTGATGGCAGATCTCAAGGTATGGTTGATACAGTTGGATTAATTTTTGTATACTCTTGTCATTTTCAAGAATGAATGAAGATAATGTAATTTTTTGGTGTTATGATATCTATATTTGTTTATAACTAAAAAAATAATGAAAATGTTTATCATTTTTTTAGCAAGCTATTTAAAAAGGATTATAATGGTACATGTCACTAAATTTCTTTCCAGCACACAGCTGGTTACAATTAACTTTAATATTACGTTAAGCTTTCAAGTGTTAAATTGGAATTGCAATAATTAACAATTTGTTTGAGGTGATTAATTGTCACTATATTGTTTCATGGAAATTTATAACAAACATATTTTACTTTCAAATGAAGATTCCCTTTTGTTCCATTAAAGAATAATGAGGAGTTATCCCTGAAAGAATAAAAGTTGATACACTGGGTAACCTCATCATTATTGATGGAGGTGCATGCATGTTTTACATTTGTCTTTTCAGGTTTTTTTTTTTTTTCATACCATGACCTACAGTTGTTAATTTCTACATAATTTGGTTCTGGTGCATCGTCTTATTTTGATATCAATTGAGTACTTACAATTCAAACAGCGTTTTGACTAGATTGAATTTCAGGGTTGTAAAAACATGTTGAAGCTTCATGTTGTTCATATGACCATCATTTCATTATTCAGAACATTCATTCAATTGAAACAATTTAATACTGTGTCTTCTAAGACTTCTTTATTGGGGAACCCATCAACAATATAGCTCTGATCTTTAAATTATAAATCTCAGTAAAATCTATACTGATCATCTTTTATCTAAAATACATGAATACTCACTCTTTTCTGTATGACTTTTTAAACTTTGATAACCACTGCTTAATTCTCAAAAACATACCTTTCTTTCTTGTTCTAAATAGTTCTGCAATTTCTTCTTCAATTTCTTCATCTATAATAAAGTTACCAATTTGACTAAATTTGTTCTTATATATAAATGATTGGTGTATTGCAATTCATACATTAATTACTATTAATGTAATGAAGCTGACCATTAAAGTCAAAGATGGAAAATCACATAACCCGTATCATGCCAACAACTGGTATTAGAATAAATGTGTTTATTTCAGATGCAAGGACCCTATGAATGAATCAATATTAATACCAAAATATGCCATTCTTAATGACATAATAACAGTTTCGTATAATATCCCTTCTGAAAAAGTTAATTTAAAGGTTTGGTAAGCTTTTTTTTAACTGAATGCCGACATTTTTGTGCTTTGTAAAGAATATTACCATAAAAGATTGAATGTGAAATACCTGAACTTATAAGATGTCTGCATGTTGATTTATATTTACAAATGATGGCCTTGTATCGATGATAAAATTTAGTAAATGTTTTGACTAGTTTGTGATTTCACAAACCCGGTATGGTGCAATAATTTTTTAGTAATACAGAGATTTCTTAAGTTAAAATCAAGTAAGTTGTTACATACACGAGAGAATCAAACAAGTTGAGATATATACACACCATAAGATGGTACCAAGGGAACGTCACCATATAAAAATGGACAATTAACAATAGGAAATGAAAAATCATCTCTTTTATCATAAAATTTGGTATTAAGCTTCCCATTACAGATATAGATATCAAGATCCAGAAAAGGGCAGCGTTCATTGCTAGTATTAGATTTATTTAAAGTCAGCTTGGCAGGATAAATCTCTTTAGTGTACATACTGAAGTTGTCATTATTGAGAGCCAATATATCATCCAAATATCTAAAAGTGTTATTCAATTTTTGAATCAGATGTTGTTTCGATGGGTTTTTGCTATAAATTTTTGACATAAATTGTAACTCAAAACAATACAGAAACAGAGCTGATATACATAAAACAACTTAAGTGAAGATAATCAATAGAAGTACTTATTTATTTTAGGACACGTTGAAAAATCCACCTTTTCAGAACAAACCTTAACTTAACTTTATGAATAGTCAGGCCCTGGTCTGCAATAAGTGATGCACAGTTAGTCCCAATGAGAATTCTGATAACTTGACGATATACAGAATATCCATAGCGAACAATGTTATGTAGTAAAAAATTCAAATATTCTTCATTGTTGTTTATCTGTTCTATAATGTAAGAGTTCCGTTGTTGACAGTTGATTTGATCTGATTGTGCAGTATTTTATTTGTGATTCCTGTTCAGATCTTTAATAGATAATTGTATGAACAGGTATGACACAGGCACTTTTCCCCCTTGAATTAGAAAATCTTACATCAAGAAACATCCATTCAATATTCACAAAAAATTCATCTTTCAGGTATAGATAGGATTTATTATTATAAATTTTAAGTGATATATATACACACATTTTTTTCCAAGGGTACAAACGAACTGTACAAATGGTGTCTATTACCTTTGCTCTTTCTTTTCAATCCTCTCTTTTGTTGATTGCTACCTACAAAGGAAAGATAACTTTGAAGAATAATCTGACATAAACACCCCATGTTTATTCAGTAACAATCACATTAAAGTGTCCAAAAAATAAACATGCTATGATTTAAAGAGAATTGTTTTAATATAAGTTTTTGACTAGGGCTATAAGGACCCTTTTTGGCCACACCCCCAAAGGACAAGGTATGATAAGGCCTGTTTTTGGCCCCCCCAAAGCTCTCCAAAACAAAATTTAGAAAATGAGAAAATAGGGGGGCCAAAAACAGGCCTTATCGTACCTTGTCCTTTCATTTAATTTACCATGTTGTAGCTCAATACCATAGACCTTCTGAAAATGATTGCATTTTGGGTCTATCTTGTATATTTTGTTGCCTATCGTCCTATACATAATGGCAACGTTAAGTATGCTTAATATACTGCTTAAATTTATCTATATTTGAAATTAAATCTGTTTAGCATGTAGTGAACTTTACACCTATACACTGTTTAAATATATAATAATCAAATGCACATTTCTTGCCAAATTCACTGTTGTTTCTCTCTTGCAACAAATTTTTGCCCATATCAACAACAATTGGTTTTCAATTTTACAAGACTTAATTTTATACATGTTGCAACAAAAAGACAATTTAAGATGCAAATTGTAAAAAGTAACTAACTCCAAAGTGTATGCAAAGGTAAAGAGGCAATATTGAAACATTAACAAACAAAACTGCACACAAACAACAGAATTCTTCAATAGAACTTGGTAAGGAAATGCACTTAATTAAAAAGTCCATTTGTGGAGTTAAAAAAAATCTATCTTTGAGTTTACATGTATGGAGAAATTGCTGGTTATTACATTTTTTCGGGAATTCATACTTGTACATGTGTACACGTTATATATTCTTCATGTTCTTATAATTATAACGGGTATTGCTGATGTTTACAGATTGTGCATCTAGTGCTAGGTGGGGTCTCACTTATCAGCGACAAGAAGAATAACATAACGACAAGAAGACTTATTTAGCATTAAGAAATCTTATTACAACATTGGTTGCAATAAATTACATTAATTTCCCAGTGAAATAACAACCAATAATTTCACAGGTGAAATCAATGTCAAATAAACGTGGTTATTTCACTCCTCTGACGTCATACAACAATAGGTGTTGTCAAGACGTTGATTACGTCGGATCAAAACAAATTGTGAATGGGTTGAAAAAGATATATCTTACATTTTCTACTTTAATTTCATAAAAAAAAAAAAAAAAAAAAACAGTTGCCAATTTAATAAAAAGAATAACTAATCAAAGAAATCGAATGTCAAAAAATATTCAACTCGTCACCAAACAACACTGATAATTAACTCATGCGCTACGCCCATTCGTGAATTAATGTGTTAATTGTTCAGTAACTTGTTGAAAATTTTTCTCTATTTAAATTCTTTGATTAGTTAATATTCTATAAATATGGATTACTGTAAATTCAGAAATTATTGTGTATTTATTATTGCGATTTTGTCATTAGGGACCAGAATATGATTAATATTTTCTTAATACTTAAATAAATTCCTCTTTATTCATAAAAAAAATGAAATCAGAGTTTAAATTATTGCGATAACAACCCTGACACATTTTTCGCAATAATAAAAACATCGCAATAATTCCTCAATTCACAGTATCTAAAATAAATAAATAAAATTATTGACTTTCATAAATCTTGAACATAAATGAAATCAATTATATAAGATCCATAAAGCAACGGAAATCAACTTCGTATATTTATATGAATGATAATACTTGTAAATAAATAAATAAAACATAGATATATAATAATAAATTTGAATTTATAGAAATTATTGTCCTTATTACCTTTGCTATTTTTCTTCAATCCTTTCTTTTGTTGAATGTTGCCTGAAAAGAAAACAATAATTTGAAGACTAATGATCTGACCTAAACACTCCTTTTTATCCAGGTCCATACTTACAAGAGCAACACCACCGGTGCCACATGTGGACCAGAGTCTGCTCAACCATCTTGTGCACTTGAGATCACTCCTGGTTTTAGTTAGGGCTTGTGTCAATCAGTCTGGAGTAATCTAAGTTGAATTTTGTTGATTGTGTTTATCTTTGAGTCTTTTTTTTTGTTTTCTGTCATGGCCTAGACAGTTTTTTTTTTTAAATTAAGTTTGAATGTCTCTTTGGTTGTTTTTTCCTCTGTTTTGTTCATTGTTTTTGGTTTAAATATATATATGACCAACAGCTTTAATCAAAGATATATTTTCACACATTCATTTCCGATGAAGCTGTCACTAAATTTTAATACTAATGTCAGGAATCCAATACACAACACGCAGGAAATTTTATGGTTTTATACTAATTTGTAAAACAAATTTTCCCACAAAAAGATTTGGTCTAGTCTAGTCTCTTTAAATACGAACAAGGTATACATAAAATTTACGAAAAACTCTTAAGGGAAATTAGAGGCATTACTCTTCATTGGTAAAACTAAATCAACTTGATCAAGATTTCATAAACAATGACATTGCCTTCAAATTTCAAGATTTGGTATAGTGGTACTTTAATTATCATCAGGAAACCAAATAATTTCCTGACTTTTTAGATAACTAAAGGTTGTTACTATTGACTTGTAAATGCCAAAACAAACTAAATCAAACTTGACTGAATTTTATGATTCATGCCATTGTGTTCAAGTTTCAAAAGATTATGTTAAAAGGTAATCATCAGGAAATTTAAGAAAAATCCAATTTTTAAGGTAAGCAAGAGCATCCTTTTTTTAACAATAAATGTCAAAACAAACAAATCTCAATTGACCTGTATTTTATAGTCCACAACATTATTTCAAAAAAATTTGTTGAGTGGCAGAGAGGTACTTTAATTTTCCCTAGTTAAGGTATTAAAAACAAATACCTTCATCCGAACTGTCGTCACTTTGTGGAGTAGAATCGTCCTCTGAAGAACTGTATCTATTGACTGAAAGAATGTATATCAAAAATAAGGTTCATATCATATATGACTGTCAATTTTTCGATATGGAGCAAATATTGTATTTTCATTGATGCTTAAGTCTGCAGTCATGTCTTTAGCAAATTTTGATTTGCTTATTACTAAAACTTGTGATTCACATAAACCAACAATTCAAAAAAAAATACCAAACAATTAATAGTGAATTTACAGTATTTTAAATAAGTTAAGAAAAGTAATAAAGAGTAGAAAAGTTTACATTCAATCCATAAAACAACAAGAAAAAATGTATTAAGTAACATATACCTTTTTTCTTTCTTTTTTTCCCTCTCTTTGCTTTTCCCAAACTTGAACTTGAACTTGACTCTATTATAAAAATAAATTACCCAAATATACAGATGCAAAATTGCAGAGTCCTGTTCACCAAAAAAAGTGTGTGCATACAAATGTTTATATAATGGTTGTTTAAAGGTTTTAGTCACATTGTAATTCAGGAAAATTAGACAAGGTTTCTTTGAAAACATTTATTTTATAGATATTTTTTACTTTTATCTCTTATGAATACATATGATACCATCACTCTGTTATATATGTAAATTGATTCATTAATCCACATTACTAGTCTCTCCCCCCCCCCCCCTTAATCCTCCCTATATTATGCTCCTTATTCTATTTAGGGACTATGTTGCTATTACTTAAGTGCTTTCTCCTTTGGGGGCCGAACCAAATGCTGAAAAGATACAGTGCAAATGAAAGCATCTGTTTTATACTAATCAGAGATCAGTAAGGGGCCCAAGACATGTCAACTGGTTCTTGGTTAGAAGTATAAACTGAACAAACACAGGTTTGGGACAAAGAACCACAGTTTAATATTTTCTTTGCATATCAATAAAGCAATAAACATAATTACAAACCAAGCAAAATCAAGTTGAAAATCTGTGGTACTCCTAACACAAAGTACATGATAAAATTAACTGTGAGTTCTTTTGAAAACATTACTACTCTACTTATTAACAATATACTATAATAAAAGGCTGAAAAGACATAGCAATAAAGTAAAAACTATCCTCTAGGGAGCGGAGGGTGGGAATAAATTATTTCCCAGAAATATTTGAATGTCTGCTCAAAGCAAGCGTTGCTTTCAAAATAATTATGTGCTTGTGCCTAAAACAAAAGCCCTGTTACTTAAGCGCTGATTGGTTAATTCAAATGCAATGTTAATTCTGATTGGTTAATTAGTATGATCTCGAAAAAGCAATTAGTAAACAAGATTTTACATGCAGCAGTAACTGGGAAACCCCCACACTGATTGGACCAAATAATAGACAGGAATTCCCAATTAAAATTATATGTACAGGCATTGCACAAAAACGTATTGTGTATTAATAATCTATTTACACAAAATAGTTCCATTAATCCACATTACTAGTCCCCCCCAATCCCTATATTATGCTCCTTATTCTATTTAGGGACTATGTTGCTATTACTTAAGTGCTTTCTCCTTTGAGGGCCGAACTAAACGCTGAAAAGATACAGTGCAAATGAAAGCATCTGTTTTACACTAATCAGAGATCAGTAAGGGGCCCAAGACATGTTAACCGGTTCTTGTTTAGAAGTATAAACTGAACAAACACAGGTTTGGGACAAAGAACCACAGTTAAATATTTTCTTTGCATATCAATAAAGCAATAAACATAATTACAAACAAAGCAAAATCAAGTTGAAAATCTGTGGTACTCCAAAACAAACCCCAAACCTGTGTAAAGGTAGAAAGTAGGACATGCATCAGAAACATGCTAAAGACTAAGGGCTGATGCGAAAAACCATTCATTTTCCTTAGAAAACTGACGAAAACTCTGTCATGTCTGTGTACCTGTAAGCCTAAAAATAAGAAAACGGAGAGAATGACAGGACATGTGAGGAACAAGGTGTTGTACATACAAAGGGGTGGATAAGCATTCCTTCATAAAAAATTGACATAACTTTAATTCATGCAATCTGGAAATAGCATCAGCTAAAACATTTTGCTTCCCAGGCAAATGAATTGCGACCAGATGAAAATTATAAGAAGCAGATAGCCAAAACAATTCACGCAAAAAGGACATCAAAAGTTTGTTCCTTGAGGTACACTTATTGATACAGGCAACAGTTGATGCATTATCACAAAAAATATATACATGCCTATTTTGCCAGCACTTAGCCCAACGTTTGACTGCCAAAGCCACTGCAAGTGCCTCTGGCTCATTTATATGCAAAGATTGCGCAAATGGGAAATCCTCTTTTCAATTGACATAAAACCAATCAGTACCAAAAACACCACCTGCTCCTGTATTGCAAGCATCAGTGTAAACTGAGGTAACAGGATCAGTATTTAGTAAGACGGATTTCCCATTGAAAGTTGCCATAAAATTGTACCACCAATGGATATCATGCAAAATTTCGCCGCCTAAGCGCATTTTGTGCCTGTCATGCTTGAGCTGCATTATGTTGTCAACAATTCTCCGGAGAAAAACTCTCCCGCCATGAACCACTGACGAAGCCCAGTTTAGCTTGCCCACCAGGGACTGCAATTGTTTCTTAGAAACATGCTTGCGCTGCTGAAAACTTGCTAGTGCTCCCCTTAGTTCATCAAGTTTTTTAATAGGTAATCCTAATTCGAATGTTGTGGAGTCAATCTCCATGCCTAAAAATACTAATTTCTGGCATGGGTCCACAACCTTGGACCAACTAATAAAAAAACCTAACTTGCACAGCAAGTAAATTAAAACCCTAAGTGCATGTGCACAGCGCTGCTTAGTGCTTTCACAAATGAAAAAAATCATCCAAATAAGCTATAATGGTAAAACCTCTGCGTGACATCATGCGGCGGATAGCCTGTTATAGCCTATGAAAGATACCTGGTGCTAGTTTTGAGCCAAAGGGTAATTTTTTATCAATAAAGGTATGGGTCTGACCGTCAGGAAAAGTCCACCGTAAACCAGTTACCTGTTGACTATGAGGACTGATGCTAACAGATCTATAGGCCGACTTTAAATCAACTTTGGCCATTAAACAGTTTTTTGTGACTAATTTTGCTGCATCATCAACAGACTGAAACTTTTGTTTTTCTACCTCCCCCGCAAAATCATTTAAAGCAGACCCTAGCGGTCTGTTGCAGTCGTGAATTATTCTTACACCCCCATCAGGTTTTGGAATAATACCTAAAGGTGTGGACTTAGCATACTCATAATTTCCATTTTCAATTTCATTCAAAATCTGTTGATGGGCTTTTTCATATAAAGGACTTGAAGGATTAGCTGAAGGGTGATTTTTTGACGATATGTTCAAGGAAGCCAAATTATCTTGAACAATGTTGAACCCATCTTTTATACCTTGCAAAAGAAAATCTTTATCAACATCATATTTTAGTTCCTCTTGCCAAACATTATACACTAAGTCATGCACAGGCTTTACCTTTATCCGTTTTTTGGATGAGCAAAGGCTTGGTGTTGGGCACCACAACCCTGAATTGAACAAATATGTACATGGCGACAGTTTGGAAATGAGCAACCTTTCCTACTGTTAAAACTTTTGCAAATTTCATTTCCCTCTATAGAGTGTGAAGTATACCTGGAATAGTCCTGCTGTTGTTTATTTGCATTCTTAAACATTGGACCAGATGCCTGAGGTTTATCGTATATAGCTTTAGGCCGCAAGTAAACTGACTGTAAATGGGGAATGTCAGTGCCCCATCTAAAAGTATGCTGCTTTTGAAGCCTACGATATTCTCTATCAAAAAACAGCACTGACACAAATTCACATGATGAAACTAAGTGATAAAATCTCATGGTATATGACAAATAATCGAGGACCTGTGTCTGTGTCAGTTGTCCAGTGCTGAGCAGCTTGTACATTATTGACAAGTTTGCCCTAGACCATTGACACAGAGACAGAGATTCAAGCCTTGGCTTTAGTGGCCCAGACTTAAACACTAGTTGCCCCCCTGATGCATTGGAAATAAGGCGCTCCTCAGGCAAACTGGTCCCCCCTATATCATTTGAGACAAAATCTATAATATCGAGATAATTGACATTACTGTCTATGTTTGAATGTTTTAAATAAATTTGCGGATCCTGCCAAGACAGGATAGAGTTAATGCACAGCCCAGGGTTACCTAAATTGTTTACTGAATTGTCACTTCCATTCACATTTGAGTTTCCCGGAAAGTTCTGGTTTGGACGTCCATCCAATGAAACGGAGGAATGTCTATATTTTGTCTGCTGCATGGAAAGCTGATGCAATACAGCATTAACGTATGCTTCGTCTGTGTTTGTCTGTATTCCGTCATCTTTAAGTTGATCATGGGCGCCGCCATCTTTGTTCACATTACTTCCGTCGTCGCCATCTTGGTATGCGCATGCACCAGAATTTGACATTGCCGGAAGTCCAGAATTTTCCGTCATTCTCTCGCTGTTCGAAAAGTCTTTCTTGAACGTTTTTTCCACTGCTGGCAGTAATAATTTTCGTTGTCCAATAGGGATGCACGAATCACTCATTTCCTTCTCTATCAACGCGACGGCCTCCATGCTATCAAAACCAAGTTCCAAAATTTCATTCGCGGTAGCTGAGTTTAGCTTCATCACTCCGGCCTATGCCTTTACTTTGTCGGACTGGTTATCGGGTCCCGTCCTAAATGTGATATCTTCGTCATCAGACATGATGCAAAGACAGTTTATTGAAAAACAACAGTTTATAGCAATTATCGTCGTGACGTTAAATTCTCTCAGAATACGAATTAATCCTGTCTCACGGACTTGTCAGAAGCGCAAAACGCAAAACTTTGGAATATTAACCCGCCATTGCACGCTGCTGCAGATTCCAGAATCAAACTTTAAAACACAAAACTGATACTGCTTCCGGATTGTATTTAAATTTGCACATTTTTAACATCAATTTTTGACATTAAAAAAAAAACAATTGGGAAAGTTAATGCAAAAACACTGCGTATACGTTTTCCTAAACGTTCATATATAATATGTTCCATTTCCACATTGAAAACCTAAATCCATTCATGATTATATAAATATATCTTGATAAACTGCTGACAAAAAATAAATTATTTCCCAGAAATATTTGAATGTCTGCTCAAAGCAAGCGTTGCTTTCAGAATAATTATGTGCTTGTGCCTAAAACAAAAGCCCTGTTAATTTAGCGCTGATTGGTTAATTCAAATGCAATGTTAATTTTGATTGGTTAATTAGTATGATCTCGAAAAAGCAATTATTAAACGAGATTTCACATGCAGCAGTAACTGGGAAACCCCCACACTGATTGGACCAAATAATAGACAGGAATTCCCAATTAAAATTATATGTACAGGCATTGCACAAAAACGTATTGTGCATTAATAATCTATTTATACAAAATAGTTCCAAAATAAATTTTGTTTTCTATTTATTATAATGGATTTTGGCGAAAATTTCTATAATTGATTACTATTAAACTAGTTTTCCTAGTGCACAGAATTGCCTTTATAGTTTGTATTTTAATTATCCTTAATTCATATTTTAGATAAACATACCCTCATCACTCTCTGTTATATCTGTATTTTCATCAGTACCACCACTATTGTCATATGAAGTACCTGCCACATCCTCTGAAAAAATAAATGGGGAATGTGTCCACAGATATTACTCTTGCTTGCATATATAAAATCATAATGGGACATAACTCAATTACTATAAAATACAGGCTTCAAGGAGCCTATATGTCGCTAACCTGATTACAAAAATGTACAAACAGATGCTCCGCAGGGCGCAGCTTTATACGACCGCAGAGGTCGAACCCTGAGCAGTTGGGGCAAGAATGGACACAGCATTCAAGCTTGATACAGATCTGAATTTGGATTGTGATTAAATAGTTGACACAGCATAGGTTTCTTACACAGAATGAATGTGGTCTAATGAACTTAAAAAATTTAAATTTACCTATTATGGTCAAATATCCAAAATCTAAATACATCCCTACTGAAAATGAGTACGGGATTCCACTGGATTTCCACTGAAATTACACTGGTATTCAGTGGAAAAAAATATTCCGATGGAATCCCATTAGAATTTCATCCAAAACATCTGGAATATTTTTCACACTGTAATTCCAATGGAAAATCAGTGAAATTTCCAATGAAACTTCCAAAGATTTTCCAATTAATTTCCAGTGGAATATTATTGTTTATATTTCAGTGGAGTTTTGATTTAATGCAAATATTCCAGTGGAATTTTGGACTTAGAAATTTAAAGGAATATATACTTCTAATTTAAATTTTTCAAATAATTAAGTGCATGATTATTATGTAAAGGATTTAATTTATAACATATAATTTGCTGGCCTGATAAGAAATTAAATATTATAATCATGATAATATATTGGATGTAATGAATATTTCATAAACCTACATATATACATGTATATGAAACATTTGTTCAAAAAATGTTACATGGTTAAATGTAATATGAAATCACTTGCCTAGTAACAAATGAAAATAATCATTTGGTCTGAAAGACCCCCCCCCCCATATAAAATAAGTAAAATGGTAGCTCCTCAGATGTAGGGTGAATATAATGCATCACCATATAGCCTATGAGTATGACACATTGAAAGGATACATTTTAACCATTAAGTAATAAAATTAAATGTGCAATAATCAGATAATATAAATAAAGAAATGAATATTTTATATCAAATTGGGTTGAGAATAAGATTCTGTTTGATTTAACGAACAAAAACAATTAAGATTCTTTTTGAAAAATGTGCATGGCTCTTAAAAGGGCCGTTTTAAACAGATCTGTTGCAGAAATTATCTTCAGACTGTACGAATTGTTAGGATAACTCCGTTTTTTTCTTCAAGTGACCGTACTGGCAACTGCCCTGCACTACAGTCTACATGTATACAATAATATAATTATTTCTCCTTTGACTTCATCATGTTCATTAACTGTTACTGGTCTACTGTTCTTTTGATTAAAGTGAACGGCTTTCATTTTCCAAATTGTTCTATAAACTGTTTCGGTATCTTAACTTTGTCGGTGTGATGAATTTTTCATCATTTTCATGTCCTGAACTCGGCACTGAAACTCGGGTCATATAAGTTAATCTATAGAAACATTTCACATATAATCCGCTCCAATCAATTGTACGCTAATTGTCAGTGTTTTGGCATAATTTGAGCAGAAAATTCGTGTAACTGTAGTCTATAATGTTGTTTTTCAACACACATGTTTACATTCATGGAGGCTGCCATTTTTTTCTACCAGACTATATATATAACCGCTGATTTGATTGGATAACTCTATTTCCGGGATTTCCGATCGGCCAATCAGATAGTCGTTATCATTAATACACGGAATGTGTTCAAATTTGAAACTAAAAATATTGTACGAGTATGTATCCTGTCCAGCATTGTCCAGCTGTGATTACATTAATCATGTTAATAATAATTAATACTCAACAACCTTCGATAAATAAAGAAATAGACATTAAAGGCAGAACATTTAGTTATGACATTAGCTGTTGAACCAAGAATTTTAATGAGACGATCTGATGTAGGGCAGACGTACAGCAGATACAGGTAATTTTTAAGAGATTTTACATTTGATTTTTACATCATGAATATTTTTAATTAAAATGAAAAAAAAAGATATACACCCCCTTTAGTTTCATTCATGGGCTCTGTTAGTTCACACTTTGAGGATGACCATTTGGTGTTCTGAAAAGGGGGAGGTGGGAATGTAATAATAATTTTATTATTCAATATTGAATTACATTGTGTGCCTTCACAATCAAGGAAAGATGTTTACAGTTTACTACACAATGTCAGGCACATTCAACTTAATTTTGTCATGTTCTGATTTGGATGGACATGCAACACAAAAAATCCCTAAAGGTTAATATTGTGTTTTAGAGTCTTTATACTTAACTGAAAGAAGCTTCTTAATTATATATGTACATTGTATGATAAATATCAGTAATATATGATGCATACAGGTCATGACCAGAAAATAAAAATTATTAATAAAATGTTTTTACATTTTTTTTTTAGGTTGTCCATATATTAAAAGGGATTGATCATGGTGAAGGTACAAAGCTGCAAAAATGGTGACTGTGCATTGATCAATATCCACTCAATAATATGAAAACACGATGAAAACAAACGAACCAGCAGCAGAAAAGAAATTTGAGTATAAGATTATTGAAAGGTACTTATTGAATTATTTTTTCATCCTTCCCACACTTGAAATAAAAATACATTAATCATGTTAATCATTCACATCTATAAGCTGTAAACACATCTCAAAAACATTGATCTGATCATCATGCACAATTATTAATCATGGCTATTATGTGAACAAAATGAGGTGTCTGGTATGCTTCAACCAGATAGTAAACCAACAACAAACACAACACAAAGGGAAAGATAATATGAGGCTAAATAAAAATATATGCGTGGTTCCAATTACCTTACCTACCTTTTTTTTTAGTCTAAACAATAGCCTACCCTAAAGATTTTTTTGTCATTTTTCAGTAAGTACTGTTTAAGTCAGAATGTTGCTCCCATAGACATGATAGACTCAATGTAAAAAAAACATAAAATAAAAAAAATTCTTACCTACCTACCCTAATTTTTTTTTAAATGTAACTGGAACCACACATACCATACACTATACGTATAGTGTCTTGAAATATGAAATTTATTTGTATGAGGCTAAGAAACGGGGGGAAATGCGAGGTTTACCGAGCATTTCCCCCTGTTTCGTGCCGAATACAAATAAATTTCATATTTCAAGACACTCTTTATACTGCAATCGATAAAAAACATAAAAAATAAAATAAAATACGTAACAAATTTATTGTTAAAAAAAAGTGTTTGGAATTTCCCTCTTGGGGTACCATTGTTGGGTATTTCCCTATAAGCGTAGTAACTCATAAAGTCCAGGCGATAAGACATTGACATTTTTAGTAATTAGAAAGAGAAAATAAACTAATTTAATAGTATTTAATAAATATGGTATGTAAATTACGAATTTCAAGACATAACAAGTTTAAATTTACAAAAGTTTGACAATTGTTACTACACGTTGTCATGGTTGTGACGTGACGTTGTTGATGAAATACAGTAGTTCCGGTAAGTAAGCGTGGCTAATAGGTTAGTTGAGGTCATTGACGTATAAAGCTAACGTTTATACGTATAGCTTTATCTGTATAGTAAAATAGCTGATTGCAGTATAAACTATTTTATTTGGCTTTGAGAGACACCTGATCCATGAACAATAAAAGTCTATTTTGATAAAAAGAGATGTGTGTTATAAGTCTAAGAGACAGCAACCCAACAACTATAGCCAAAGATATCTAGAGAACACATAGTCTTCAATAATAGACATACATGTGTCTAAATTGCTCTTAGTGTATAAATGTTGTGAATAAATTACACACAAACACAAATAAAATATGCCAGTAACATATATTTTTGAATAATTGCAGACTGGAGCATGGTATTGTAATGTTATTTTAATGCAAAATTCTATGCATGTTATGATGTATGATTTTTTTTCTTTCAGATTAATCAATGAAGACTTAATGGAACAGGATTGGAATGCAGAAACTTTGGACTTAATTCATGAATAATATCAATTGATGATGAAGAAAACTGACCAAACTGACAAAGTATTTCGTATGCATGTAAACTGGACATTTTTGTTTGTTTAATGCACAATAAACAAATTTGTAAATTTGAAAATTAAAACCATTTGTGAAAGATTTCCAAAGAGGACCAAAAGTTACCATGGACTTATGAATGATTTAATCAGAAAAATGATTTACATGTACAATTAAGTAAATACATCTTTGACTAAAAAATGATAATTTATCAACGTTAATATTTTAAAGAGGTTGATCTTTTCGTTTAAAAGGTCTTAAATGTGGATGATGTATAAACTGTTGTAATTTCTTTAATTGTTGACTTGCATTAAAATGGTTATTGTCTTATTTCAAGTTTTCTTATTAATTCATTCAAAAATAAGCAGTGCATGCAAAATGATATCTAACATTTCAGTGGAATTGTCAATTTCCATTGAAATATCACTGGTTTTCTTTGGTTGATTGTTACAATTTCCAATGGAATTACCACTGGTATCCCAGTAGAAAACAATAAATGTCCAGTGGGAAAACAATGGTATTCCAACGAAGTTTTCACTGGTATTCCAATGGAATTTCCACTGTATTCCACTCGAGTATTCACCGGAATCCCACTGGATATTCCACTGATATCCCAATGGAAAACAATGAATGTCCAATGAAAATCCCGACCAAATTTCCCAGTGGTAATACAGTGGTATTCCAATGGAACTCTGATGGAACTCCACTGGTATTTTCAGTGAAATCCCACTTTACATTTTCAGTAGGGATGGCCATGGATTGATTCAGCATATCAAAGAATCCCAAGAATTCAATTTTTGATGAAATCAAACAAAGTTTAATTTTTGACCCTTTTGACTCAATGTGGACCAATTTGATAACAGGGCCCAAAAATCAAAAATCTAAATACATGGTTAGATTTAGCATACATGTACCAAAGAACCCCATACATTCAATTTTTGTTGA